TTCCAGCCCACCTCGCGGGGTTTTGATACACACATAGATTGAAAACAAAGACAAACCAGCAGCGAGCGGCCCATAAAGTGGATAGCGCCAGTCATAATAGCCCAGCCCGCGGATGATGGCGGATGATGGCGGATGATACCCTTCCCCTTCCCCCCCCCTATACCTGGTGCGCATTATATAAGAGACCATTCTGGATCACATCCAAAGACAGAGCCAAAAAGCACGCAGATCGCTTGAGACACCTGATTTCCGGGGGAAGCATTGCAGCTCGACAAAAACTCCACCAGAATCTCCTTGCTTTCTGTTTTTCTATTTGTGTGTGCGAAAAGTCTCTGCTCCGAGACAGGAGTAATTTTTTGACTTGAATATGGTTCGAGACAGGCATTTGCAAACGGCCCTTTCCCCTACTACCAAAGGACCATTGGGCAGAATTGCCGAGGACGGCGGTTCGCGGTCAAAGGTCCCTAGAAATTCAAAGTCTGTTGATGCTTGCTACATCCACTTGTCTCCAGGTAAACATAAAAAACATGTTCAAATTCGAATTCAAGAGAGGGGATGGTGATGGAGAACTGGCTCCCCCCCGCCCGGATGCCGAGCCTTCTAGGCCAACTGAAACCCACTGAAAACACTCGTCGACGGTGGGTTTCTGCTTCTCGTCGGTGTGGTCACTGATGAATGCCGAACGTTTGCGCTGTGACCCCGCCATCCACAAGACAGACGTGGACGGAACTTTTGTGCAACAAGCTCCAGCGGCTCCAGCGATGGCTCCAGCAGCGACCCCCAGTGGTTCCAGTGATGCTCCAACTGTGCTCCAGCAGCGGCCCCAACAACGGCTCCAATAATCCACAGCCAGTCCCCACGTGCTGGAGAGCCTCACAAGGCTTGGCCCAGCTGAAAGGGAACATGCAACCGCCACCAGGCGCAAGGCAAAAAAGGGAAAGGCCGTTTCCTTCTTCGACAGCTTCCAACGTCCCAAGCAATCGATAGCGCTTCGGCAGCCGGGTAAAAATCAAAAGGCTGGGGCTCATAGTGGATGCCTTAACGTGCTAACGAAAAACAACACATCATCCGTTTCTCAAAGAAGAAGACTTCCAAACAACTCGGCATGTTGGCACGTAGGTTAGTGTATTAGCGTGTCCAAAAAAAGAAGAGATCGAGAATTAGAAAGCGGAAATAGAAAAAGTAGGTTACCACCGAAGCCAACAGGGGCCCAAAAAAAAAACCCAACGCGGGATCACCGCAAATCTCCTCGGCCTGTCCCGAGGCTCTTGGTATCGGTAACGTCAGCCAACGGCTCAGCACGACTTGCCTCGCCACCATGGGAAAAAAGATACAAAATCCTCCGTCTCGCTGAAACCCCAGCAACCCAGAAGAAATAAAATCCTTCCCACAAAGCCACCAACAAGCTCGTGACCATCGGATCTGACTGACACAACAAAACAAAAAAAAGGCGAGAGAGCGAGAGTTTCTCCTTCTTCGCACTTGCTAAGAAGAGAAAAATACCACGTAGTAGTGAAAATCCCGTCGGCGAGCGCGCGAGGCAAGGCAAAGGTAGGTGAAGAAAAGGCGGCAATAGCGGCGGTGACCCCAGGCCAAGGGAAACACCCTTTCGGATCTTCAAGGCAATCATCGGCCTCGGAAGTGGAAGGGGACTCCTCTTGCTTTTCAGCTCCTCATTTCGTCAACGGAAACCTGACAGCCTCGTCGGTTGAGCCCCGGAGAACCCTGGCAAAAAGTGGATAAACTCTCCACCAAACCCCGGACAGCTTTTTCCAGCAGCAGAAGGGGTAAAAAAGAAGATGATGATAACGTAGCATTCCCATGCCTTGGAAATCAAGCATTCGAAATTCCATCTTTTGATCAAATTCATGCCACGTTCAGAGGGTGGTGGCTTGGATCGGAGAATATGGAAAGATGCAAGAAAGGTGAAAAGAAGGTGATGATCTTCCTTTCCCCAGCCGCAATCCCAACCCAAACTTTTTGGAATGTCTTGGCATTGGTGGGGTATGAGGTTGGTGATAAACTTTCGTCCCGATTTTTCCAAGGTGAACCACGATATCGGACTCTCGCTCACCTGATGACTCTCTCACCGACGATGACCGGAGCGGATGAGCGGTGTCGGATGGTCAAAGGTATCGTGCATCGGATAGCATCCTGGTAAACTCGTCATTATGAAGAAGATTTTGGGCGGTTGACTCGTCACCTTCCTTTCTTTGAGGGGCAAGAGACATCAGGTGCGGACATAATAGGGAATAATACGTGTAAATAGTGATATGTATGAGCATGCGTAACGGGGCGAGAGCTGAAATAGAATGATTGCTCAGCTTTCTGGTGAAAAAAGGAAAATGGAAAGTGCCCGGTCCCCCCCCCAAACAAATCATACGTTTGGAAAAGCCCTCCCTCTTTTGATAGGATAGGCAGAAGTGGCAGGTGGGTGGGTTGGATTAAGGCACGCACAACTCAACTTTGGTCGTGACTTCCCATCACGGCCTCGCCGTCACCACAACCCAATGACTGGCCAGCAACGGCCACACACACACATTCACCATCGAACAGAAAATGTGGCTTGCAGCACCTGCATGGCTCATGCATTTAGGTCCGTCTGCAGCTTCCCATCCACTGAAATTGATGAATAGGCACACACACACACACATGCACGCACTGGCACACAAGCACAGACACACAGGCACAAAACAAACACAAATGAGGCCGACACCAAAAAGAGAAACCTTCTGGAATTAATCTACACGGCCGGACTTGTTCCACCCTTGCCTGATGCGGATGGTGGCATCTTGAAACATATTCAACCTGCGTCGCGTTGCAAAGTGCGTAACGCATCGCAATCTAGGAAAAACCCAAAGTGTAATAAAGAAAAAGAATAAAAGCTTCTTCTGAGGAAAAGTGAGCTGACAAACAACATGGCCCTGCCGCAAGCCCGCATTCGATGGTGTCCAATGTATAGCAAACACAAGACAACTCACTCCAACCTTCCCGCCCTCAGCCAGCCAACCAAAGTCCTCCAAGATCCAAAAGGAAGGAATCTGTGGAATGTTCTATGCAGATACCCCAATTGAACTCTCGATAGGGGATCTGCCCATCCATCGTTCGATGCCATCACAGCATCCATCCCTTCGAAAGCTGCTGGCTGCAGGCCTCTGATGATCGACACTGCACCATGCTTGGTTCGGAAAAGCAGACCGTTGCACAGCGTTGATTAGCTTCCTTCTAGAAGCCCTTTGCGCTCCTTGATTTGATCAAAAAAAAGAGGGGAAGTTCTAGACACAAACGGAAAAACGTACTGTACGTCAGGGAATTCGCCCCTCTCCCCACCAAGTGTAGCGTTTATGTACGCGTAATGAAAAGAAAAAAATCCCATGTCAACACGGATAGTACCGTGATATTGACGTCGTCAAACACAACACACACACCATACCCCGTGCGCTGATCATCCTCCTTTTTTTGTCGATGGCATATACCGAGAACACCCCAGACATCCAGCAAGATGTCGCTGGTAATAATAATTGTGTCAAATGACGCAAAGATAAGAGATGGTCTCCACCTTTCGGGCCGGTGGGCTGATTTCAACCGACCCCAAAGATGGCGTCGTTTCTTCTGCTGCTGGAAGATCAAGATATGCGAAAACGGTTCGGAATTTTTAAAACACAAAAATGCAGCGCGCTTTCCTGACTTGGGACGACAACTACACCCATATCTCAGTATCTTTTTGCATCAAGAAGGAACACCCGGTTTGATCACCCAGGCTGCGTGCTATGACCCCTGATGTGATGGCATTCACAACAGTTTCCCGTAATACCTGCCCAGCCTCCGTATCGCAAACCCGTTTTGATTCAAGCGTCTTCTGCCTATGTATGTTCATATGCAAGTTTGCGCTGTTCACCCCTCCCGTGGATAGGAAGTTGAGATGGTGGCGTATCGCATCACGTGAAGAAGCCATCCATGGAATTTCGAGAACTTTTGGTTCCTTATTCCTTTCTTTTTTTGTCCTGGTTACCGAACTGCCTCATTGGCAATTCGAGACGAGGACGGGACGAGGCGAGAGGGAGAGGAACAAACAACTGGCCGGCAAGGGCCCTGATGAATGAAGGTGGTGAATCTATAGTAATTCAGCCGCGTCCGCAAAGAATAGTCATCAATCAGCAATAGGCAAGGCAAGACAAGACACAACAAATCATTGAGGATTACCTGTTCTTTTATTATTGGGTGTGCTTGTCCGCTGTTTGACGGAAGGGGAAGGAGAATGGATTGCTATCGCCAAGCCCTCGGCCTTTGTATTGATCCTATTGGTTTATCCAGGTTCCTAGCCAACTGCCGAGCCAGGAATGGGCCCGGTGAACCGAGTGGCATGGGGGGTTCATCGCCTGTCGGGCGGCCCTTTTTGCATTGGTTTTGGGGAGATGAGGTTGTTTTTGGGAGATGGATGAGATGTTGGTTTCTTAGATATGCGTAGGACAAATCAGGCTGATGAGGAGCACCTGAGTTGGCAGTCTGGGGATTCTGTCAGCTGCACGACTCAGGCATCTTGGGTGCTGGTCTTGGGTGCTTGGCTGGTCTGCTTGGCCGGGGTTCCTGACTGCCAAGGGGTCCAAGCGACAATCAAGTGGACCGCACAAATCCGTCACCCGAACCTGATAGCTTTTTCTTTTCTCTCTCTCTGCCCGTGATGTTGAGAGCCGCGATTTGCCTCCTTTGCGGGCGAGGGGTGCCATGTTCAGACCTTTGTGCGACTCGTCGCATTGCGGGAGAGAGATTGTGGTTGAGGAAATCGGACGATCAGTTAGATGGCCAGACAGGAATAGATGCTCCTGTACGGTGGAGGGGAGGGGAGAGGGCCACAGAGCCCGAAAAAGCGGTTGATTTTGTCCCATGGCATGCCCATGGCCGATGCTGTGCCGTTTCATCACCAGTGGATGGATGGATGGATGTATTGGAATGCAAGATTAGGTAACGTGGGTATTCAGTGGTATTCAGTCTATTAGATTCAAACTGAATGAGGTCGTCCACGGCATGACGAAGCCTGCAGGGTCGTTGTGTGTGATTGGGCTGAGCATCGGGTACGGCGTGGTTATTCGCCCCTCGAACAGGATGGGATCGAAGGCTTCTAGAAGCATTCGGCGGTGCACACCCACGACACCCCACCCCCAGCTAGCTGCATTCCTCGGCCGGGCTTGGGGACGCTCTCCCGTTCGCTGTTCTCTTTCTCTTCTCTGTCTGCTCCGTTGTGTTTTTTGCTGCCGAGGGGAGCGAGGGAGGACGGGAAGGTTTGGAAACGGAAAACGGTCAATCACCAGTCTCAAGGGACTCCCCCGTTAGGCGGCGATGCCATCATCCCGAACCGGTGCCCGAGTGGCATGACTGCTTCTAGCTAGTCCTTTGGGACATATCGATATGGAGAACTCGTCTCTACTCCGTACACTACGGATTATCCTCCACCCTGGACATGTGCTATTCTCACATCCATCGATGGATCGGGAATGGCGAGGCAATAGGCAGAACAGTTGGCGGATTTAGCGAGAGGAATGGGGGGGGGGGCCTGGGGGCAGTCTCTGTGTGATAGAGTTGCAACGATTACGGAGAGGTAGAGGGACCCCCCTGTCTTGCCTCCCCCCGGCGGCTCTCTTCCTTCCAGGATTCCTTTCATTCCACCCATTCCACCTATTCCACCCCATCCCTTCTTCAGTCGAACTACACTAGCAGGGAAGCGCAGTGACCCTCCTGTGACCCTCCCCCCTCACCCTCTCCGCGCTACCTTCTCATTAAAAGACTGGGCGGTCCAGTCGCCGTCCTTTATCGGGTTTCCCTTTCGGTTTGATCCCCATTTCCCCCCCCCAGGACCCTTTCCAACAAACAAAACCAACCGTGGGCCCCCGACGCCAACACCTGCCGTCTCCTCCCCATCACCAAAAAAACAACAACGACAACGACTTCTTTGACCGAGTTGCACCGCCCGCTCAATCCACTCCACACACCCCACCCGACCCTTGACTTACACGTCAACACCCTTTGTGCGACAGAAGGACGTCAGGAAACCACAAGCGATAGCTAGACATACGCCCGCCCCCGCCCGCTCGCTCGCCCGATTATATCATCCATCCTTTCGATCGATTCTGTATACTCCAACTGCTCTGCCCTGCTGTGCTGCCGTGTGCTCTCTCTCACATACACACTCTCGTGTTATTGCTGAGTTGCGCATCTCGTTCGCGCCCTTCTCCGCTCCACGACCGGTTACCTGCATGCGTGCTAGGTGACGTCCACAGCCTGACACACGCAATCCCGACAGCGCGGCGACTGGACCTCCTGGACGACCACAGCTTGAGCCCTCTCCTGCGCTCTCCCGTTCCTGTCCTGGGCGCATCTGGAGGTTATTGGTTGCATTGTGCGGGAATCGGGCGCCGACTCGCTCCAAAACAAGCCGTTCTGCGAGTCCCTGCAGCCCGGGCAAACGATCACTCATGGTGGCGCCCGCCCTTGTCTAGGACGCGAAGGGATGAAGAAGAAGAAGAAGAAGAAGAAGAAGAAGAAGAGAGCTGGAACATTTTCGACAACACAACCATAGGCCATTCGCGGGTAGCAATGACCCGCTCCCGGTTACGACCACATTCACCAACACTGCTTTCGCCAGTACATTCACCCAAGGAACTGACACCAAGACCGTCGGCCGTCTTCAGAGGCGGTGACGGAGACTCCATCATGTCAACCTCGCGACCCTCCAGCGTGGCCCTTATGCCACCATCAGCACCCACAAACCCGACCTCTCCACCATCGCTGAGAGACATCCTGACCGATACCGCTCTGCCACCCTACACGCTCGGCGCCTTTACCGCTTTTCTGTCGCAGAACCACTGCCTCGAGACGCTCGAGTTCACATTGCAGGCCGAACGCTACAGGACGGCGTACGCTAACATTGTAGGGACCGGGGAAAGGCCGCCGAGCATCGGGGATGGCAGCGAGCACATTTGCCTGCTCTGGCAGAAGCTGATGCACACCTTCATCCAGCCTTGTGGAATCCGCGAAGTCAACCTTCCCGCCCGCGTACGCGATCGGTTGCTGTCACTTCCCTGTGTGCCCATCCCACCGAACCCATCCGAACTGGACGAGGCTGTCAAGATTGTGTACGAGCTCATGAACGACTCGGTGCTGGGCCCCTTCTTGGCGTCGGTGGCGCCGCATGAAGAGGAGCACCGCCATGAGCATGATCCCAGGCTGTTTCGGTCACGCCTGCGAATCCCAAGAGAGACGTCGTCCTCCAGCGAACACGACTCAATTCGGTCACCCAAGTCAGCCTTTCTGCCCATGCTCAACCTCGCCTGGTCTAGCGAGCCCAAAAGCTCCGCGTCGTCATCCAGCGACCCAATGGAGCAGGGTGGACTAAGCGACGACAGTGGAAACGTGCCCTCGCCGTCCGCGAACGAGCCGATGACACCACCCACCACGCCGCCCACCTCAGACTGGGCCTTCGCCAACACGTCCCCCGGCAGCCTTCAGCGGGCCATTAGCGCACACAACAGCGGCTGGAAGAAGATGGGGGCGAAGCTTGGACTGAGCCGCAGAGGCCGCGCCAAGCGTGACCACCCAACCTCGGCCGGTGTCGACCTTGACCACCCGATGAGCGACGCGGCTCAGGGGAGCAACGGCCTCTTATAGGAAACAGAGGTCGTGTCGATCCCACAGGACCCCGCTACATCCTCCCACCAACATGCCCCAGCAGGCAAGACAATGACGGGTTCCGACGAAAAGGTTCACTCCATTTCATCGACCCTGCGCTCGTCGGTCGAGTGGGAGGAGCCGCACCCAGGGAAGCGCTTTCCGGTTCCCGCGACGGGGAACGTTAGCCAGGGTGTTGGTATTCCTCAGCAATGTAGCGGGCTTCACAAGAACGGCATGGCCGCAAAAGGTTTTGTCCCATATCCGACGCGCGGATGGAATATGGGCACCAAGAGGCGCTTCTTGCGCCCCCGAGTTCGGGTCAAAATCCCCGTGAACCCCCAAGACAGCTCGATCAAGAGCAACATGTGCTGCAGACCTCAGAGCACCACATCCGGCGCCGCACCCGTGATTACACCGGCTGCCACTCCCCAAGTGCCATCGATGGACTGCGTTGCCACCAACAGCACGCGGACAGTGAGCCCCATGTACGGCTGTTGCGGCACGGATAGCAAGGGTGCCATCAAGTTGAAGGACGAATCCATGGAAAGCACTCTCGACAGCACCTTGTCCTCAAAGCACTCGTCCATGCGACTCTCGATGACGGACTTTTCCCACTACCTGTCACCGGCAGGCCCCACTGATGAATCCGACCGCAGCTCCTGCCTGTCTTTTGATCCCGACCGCTCCCCCAGCCTCTCGCCTGATGAGGATCCTTATGGATGGGAAGCCGAGCTGAACAAGAAGACGGCGGCCCCCGGTGTCATGGCTTGCTGCTCTAACCTAGAGTTTCGCCGGGCGCAGGGTGGCAAGCGGAGTCTTTTGCAAAAGGTTCTCAGTCTGGGTCCTCGGGAACTTACCCGTCCATCGATGCATTGAACGGCAAGACAGCTTTTTAGTCTCGTCACATTTTTTCTATTTTGCGCAAAACTTTTTCAACAAATACCCCGACGTTTTTTTTTATGTCGACATTTTTAGATTTTTTTTGTTCCAGCGAGTCATGGCAGAGTGTGTGACTTTTGCTGGAATTTTGCTCACGCAAAACCAAAACCATCAACACTCAATAAACAAACAAACGGATTTTGATGATTCACACGTGGTCACAGGCATGGTATGGGGCATGGTATGGTACATGAACATGCATACATAAGGGTGGTTTGGGGGGGACGACGGGGGGTTTTTTATTTATTTATAATCTGTATTCTGGATTGGTTGGGTGCATGGGACGAAATAAAAGCAAGCAAGCAAGCGGGCGTTTTTCAAGGCATTTTCTATGGAAGGGGAGGGGGGTTAAGAGGGATGGGAAAAAGACTTGCATTATTCACACACACACCACACACATTGCGTAATGGGGAGGGGGGGGAGGTTGTTGTATGAATTAGAGTTTTTTTTCTTTCTTTCTTGATGATACCTTCGTATGTATGAGATATGGGAAAAGGGGTTGTTTGGGGGGCGGCCTCTCGGGGGAGGGCAAAATGATAATAAGATTATCGATGTTGTTGAAGAAGATCAATGTTGGTTTCTGTGATTTGAGTGACATGCATCAAATTGGTGAAGATGGTTGGAGCTGGCGATGTAACAAAGAGGTGAATAGACTTGACTGAGATTGTTGTTATTAAGGGGAACTGGGCAGTCTTTGTGTGGTGGATTTGGTTAGAGTTTCTTTGAGGGGGTTGTATTGTGTGATTTTGTTTGGTATTGGAATATCTCCCTACCAAGATTGAGCGTCTTTTAATAGGGACAGTGGTGAAGAGGATCATTTGTGATATGGCCTCTTCACAGTTTAGATATGTCTAGAATAGAGCAAGTATAGAAATTGCTATGTACCTATTTACTGTTGAAGATATCCGACAAAACGTTCAAAGAGACCTGTCCTGTTCTGTTTTGGGTGATTTGTTACCAAAGAAAAAATGTTTTACGATCCTGCTATATCGACTAGTTATTTACCTCCCATCTTAGTTTTACCAAGTGTGTTTGATATGATTAGATGAAGACAAAGACAATGCCCCTCTTGCCTTATCCATCTTCCCAGGCACCCTCTTCTAAATATCCACCACCACCTACCTACACAACATTCCCACTACTGCCTGCCTTTTATTACTATATATCCCACTCTACGAATAATATAAAGACGGAGTGCTCAGTATGCCATGCTTACCGATATCTTCCCTTTTCACAATTCACCTCCAATCCAACGAAGCTTTATTGTCCCACATGATATCGAACTTAATGTTGCTCTGTCGATGCCCGATACCGCTCACTAATCGAGACTGGCCTCTCCTTTATTTCAATATCGTCTACTTTAGTAGCTCGTCCTGCCATCGTCATGTTTCCCGCCAGAAAGATCGCTCAACCTCAAAAAGGGCAAACAAAAGAGCCATTCCAAGATCATCAAGATTATCCTCCTATTAACGGACGTGTAGCCTTTTTACTCCGCTGTAACAAACGAGTTAAGTAGAAGGGTAAGAGAATTGCTTCGGACAGAACCAGTATATCATCCATAAGAATATTTGACCCTGGGGACTTATGCCTGCGTGATCCAAAACAAGGTTTGCTATAAGATGTTGCCTGAACTCCTCTTCGAAGCCAAAGAAGACTTCCCCAGATTGGGTACGTACAATATCATCACATTTGGGACATACCACTGGGTTTTGAAGAACGAGGCCGCCAGGAAAATACTACCGGATATCCTCTTCCATCCAGGCAACTTCCCCAAATATATCACTACATCAAAGATCCGCATCATGATCGTCTACGAAATCATGACCAAGACATGGGGTTCTCTCTAACCACTCCATGCAGTTAGCATATCCTCCCGCCTTTGCGGTGGACTATTAGAATCTAAGGCGGGAGGCTCCTCCCAGGACATAGCAAACAGCACCGCTGCTCCACCAAGTTCGTCGACGAACAGCAGCGTTTCCTCTCCAGAATATCTGCTGGGTACTGCAGGTCGCTTGCTTCGACGTGCACACTTTTTAGACTGCCACCGAATTCAAAGACTCGCAATACTATCCAGCATTTCAAAAACCTCTTGCCCACAATTAGAGTCCTCTTTCTCAACGGTCAACGTCTTGGTGCTCAATCTCAACACAAGCATGGCTGGCCTCACTCTCCATCCCAGTTACCTATAGATCGCCTATCTTCAGCACCGATATAACTTTCTAGTCACACAAACAAAGCCATCAGCCAAGCCAACCACATCAGCCAGAAACACCATATCCTCAACAGCAACATCACCACCTTCAGCACTTACGCCTACAGCCTAGACTACAGATCATGTTGTATACTACTGCCAGAGATTCCATTTCGCCTGCTCACCACACCAAGCATCTGTCTACACACCAATACACAAAGCATTCACTCAAGGATATTACACAAAAATCAGCGTTTCCTTGCGTTTAAGAATTTCATCTGCCCACCATGCTGGCTCAAGCTTAGACCAATTTGTAAGCGTTTACACACCAATCTCAAGCAGTCTCCAAACCAACCTTAAGCGTCCACAAACAAATCTCTAGACCGTCTCCTCACAACACTGTCTCTCTCGGCAGCGTCCCCTTACAATTCGCAATGTCAATGTTGGGATGAACTCTTCAAAAGCTGGGATGAACATGTCCCAAATACAACCCAACTCCAAATCGACTCCAACCCAACATCAAGACCTAGTTCTTACAGTCTTGGTGGGACTGGTATGTGCCTGGTTGGCAGGGGCGGGAGTGGAGATGTCGACGCTGCTGGCGTCATCTTAGTTAGTTAGTAGTGACAGAGAGGCCTTCCGGACCATACCACAACACTCTTCTCACTGATAGAAGTAGGGTTGATGTTACCACTAGCTTACCCGGCAGAGGGCTCCTCGACAGCCACGCCCTCCTGGTCCACAGAGACAGCGGTCGAAGCACCGTCAGCCTCCTCAGCAGGAGCACTGTCATCCTCCTCGGCGCTGCAGCAGCAAGCATTGCGGCAAGCTACCCTTTCTCGCACGGCGCTCACGATTAGCATTGCGAGAAGCCGGGCCGTCAACGGGGCGTAGGCTGATGCGGATCAACAGAAGGAGCTTCGGACACATAAAAATGCCCCTTAAACCCTTCCAAAATTTTGCCCTCAAACCCTCCTTCTCACCAAGTCATACACCTCTCAGGTCTTTAAGTTCAAATCCCATTTAAACCCCTACAAAATTATCGCAAACCCCTTCTTTCTCTTTCGTTAAAGCCATCCAAATCACCACCTAACCACATCAATTTACTCAACTCGCCTGAGTATTCCCTCATAACTTGTTCATTATGGTTTTGCCCTATTCCAACAAATAACCCCCAAAGGAACCATATTCCCTTATTTTTTCTCTTGCCTTCATTTTGTCTCCATTTATTTTAATAATTTCTTTTTATATTTTTCGCGATGTATTGTCCCTTATCTCGCCATCTATACCTACATCCGTATATTTTT